CATGCGTTTTGACAATAAGAATTTTCTGCCAACCTATCAACTTCAAATGCAAATACCTGGTACCAGTTATGCGCTTGAACTTGCTGAAAGAAAGTTGTTTCCACCGCGGCTCATTCAAACGGCACGTCAAAAATTGGGCGAAACAAATTACATGATTAAGAAATTAGCAACATCTCTTTCCGAACTTATTCAAACCAATTATGAGCATACCAAACAACTTCAAACAAAAGAATCAGAAATAGTTCAATTAAAATCAGAATTAGAGTTTCGGCTTTCAAACCTTCAAGAAAAAGAACGAAAACGCCAAAAAGAACAAATCGTTCAAACTAAAAAGATGCTCATGGATGCAAAAAATGAGTTAAATCAACTATTAGCCGCAGCAAAAGCTAATACAAGTTCCGTGCAAACCCTTTCTTTAATTCAAAAGGATGTTTCCAAACGCATACAGCATTTGTCTAAGGAGGAATCTCAATTAACCGAAGTACAAGCCACTGAAGATTTGCGTTTGGGTGATAAAGTGAGAATGCTAAACTCGGCATCCGTGGGAACGGTAATTTTTTTATCTGGCTCAAAAATCACTGTGGATATGGGTAATTTTAATCTTAAAACGTCTGTAAATAAAGTTATCAAAGTAGCACCCGTGCCGACTCCTTTGGATAAACCTTCGCTTTCGTATAAGAGTACGCGTTTTGAAACTGATAATTTGAATTTATTCACATTAGATGTAAGAGGGATAACGTCAAAAGAAGTTATAAACAAACTGGAGGCACATATTGATAAGTGCCTTTTAGGCGGGTTATCTTTTTTTAAAATTATTCATGGGCATGGTTCGGATATATTAAGAAAATGCGTAGGTGATTTTTTGAAAAAAGAATCAAGGGTAAATTCATTTAGAATAGGTGATGAAGGTATAGACGGTTCTGGTGTTACGATCGTTAATCTTACTGAATAAATAAATTGAAGGGAATACTATACATGATTGCGGGTCCAATAGGCAATCTCGAAGACATCACATTACGGGCAATTGAAGTTTTGAAGCAAGTTTCAGTTATTGCCTGTGAAGATACACGGCAGACACAAAAATTGTTATCAAGATACGGGATTAAAAAAAAGTGCATAAGCTATCATAATTTTAATGAATGGCAGGCAACTGAACGTATTATTTCCATTCTAGAATCAGGAGAACATGTTGGATTTTTGACGGACGCTGGAACACCGCTAATTTCCGACCCTGGATTTTATCTCGTTCGTGCGGTTAGAAAAAGTAACATCATCATTTCACCTGTCCCTGGGGCATCTGCACTTTCTACAATTCTTTCTGTTTGCCCAATCCCAATAAATAAATTTTATTTTGAGGGATTTCTTCCAACCAAAAAAGGAAGAAATAAGCGTATAGAATTTCTTTCTACTTTACCCGAAACTGCCGTTATATTTTATGAATCACCTTACAGAATTACAAAACTATTGGATGAATTGTTAAAAGTCATGGGAGACAGAAATATTTTTATCGGGCGCGAAATGACAAAGAAATTTGAAGAATTTCTTTTTGGCAATATTTCCACGCTAATTGAATCGTTTAAAAATTGTAAAATTCAGGGCGAATTCGTGGTTGTTGTAGAAGGAACTAAATAATCTTTAAGCACGCCGTAACGCTTGGGTAATTCAAGGATAGCATCATCTAACTGTACAATTACAGATTCTACCCTCCCTATTGAAAACCTCATTTCTCCCTTAAAAGAAACACTTTTTTGTGTTTTTGGCAATAGTATCATTTCATCTCGTTTATTGTCGTAAATCAAAAGAACCCACACGCTATCATTCTTGGTACGAATACGGAGTTTTTTTTCAACTTGTTCACTTCTTCCTAAAACAGGGTTTTCTGTCGTTGTGCCCAATGCCTGCGGTTGCTGATACATCGCAGCATTATTGATTACCTGTCCTTCTTCTTTTAACTCCAATTCGTTTATGTTTAATTCATTAACAGAATCATTTTCAGTAAGATATTTAAACAAGAATATCAAAAAAAATAATGCTACCGCAACGAAACTTGCAATCAATATCATTGAATTATGAAGAACCCAGTTCTTATTCGCGCCAAAATCTGTTGCCTTCTCTACATGCAATCCATGAAATCTTCTTTCCTCAGATGATACTTTGGGCAGTTCATCACTACTTTTTTCCGTAGCCTGCTCCTCTTGTGCTAATTCATTGAAATCAAAAACAGGTTCTTCGTCAAGCTTAACTCCTATTTCATGTCTTACACGCTCGACATCTTCGTGCGAAATACCAAGAAAAGAGGCATATTTCTTCAGTATTAAATACACATACATACGGGGTAGAAAGTCGTAATCCCCAAGCTCCATTTTTTGTAAAAACTCAAATTTAACTTTCAACGTATTAGCAGCCTCTATAAGTGTCATTCCACTTTTCTCCCTTTTTTCTCGTAAGTTCTTAGATAAATCTATTATAGACATGTAATTAATTAATTATTTTTAACCTTTTATATGAATGACGAAAAAACAAATTGATTTTATTTTCCTTTAAACATTTCACTATCCTATGACGAGCGGCAGCAAAATTAATATGTATGACGGGTTTGGATTAAATAATGTTACGTTAAAACGCGCAATGCTACTTTCCAACACAACGACATTCTTCAAAATAAAACAACTCAAACAAAATCCAACCGCGAACGACTTTCCCGCTTTTCTCGGCAACTCCGAAAATAAACTCGGTGCCGTATTAATACTACGCATCGACAGAATTAAACCTTTTTACAAAAAATATGATCTTTTTTCAACATGCGCCATTCCTGTTATTGCAATTATCCCCCAAAAACGTACGTCAAATAATCCTAAACTCCTAACCACACTCAAAAATCTAAAAAAAAATAACCTCGTCTTCTTCTCAAATCCATCCGAAATTGCTCTTTCCTCTGTCCTACAAACACTCTACCTCTATTTCTTAAAAAATGATACCCAAAAATACGCCTTACAAGTAGAAAAAGACAATTACGAACTATTGCACAAAATCGCTATTAACCTAACCAGCGAACGTAACATTCAAAAACTTTTGCATCTCATACTCATAAACAGCATCAAAATAACACATGCAGATGCGGGAAGTATTTACACCGTCAGTTCTTCCAATGATAAAATCCTTTCTGAACGACATAAATTGGAAAACAAACTCCTTCACTTTAAGCATACCTACAATTTTAGTAGGAATTTTCCATTTAAAGAATTTACTCTACCACTTAATACGAATAGCCTCGTTGGTTATGCCTGCTTGAACCAAACCTTCATCAATATTCCCGACGCGTACGCCCTCCCAAAGTCATCTCCTTATACATTTAATTCTTCTTTTGATCATCAAATTAATTACAAAACAAAATCTATTCTGACAGTGCCTATGTTGAATCGGAGAGGAGAACCTATCGGTGCCGTACAACTCATCAATAAAAAAAAACAACCCGACGCAATCTTAAATTCTGAATCTGATTTTCTAAATTTTGTAATCTCTTTCTCAAATCAGGATGAACAATTGATGCTTTCGCTTGCTTCCCTAGCAGCTATTGCTTATGAAAATCAGATATTTTTTGAAGATCAATCAAACCTGCTCGATTCCTTAGCCGAAGTCTTGGCCCACGCCATAGATATGAAATCTCCTTATACAGGCAAACATTGTGCCCGCGTGCCTATCATCACAAAAATGATAGCCGAAGCCGCTTGCAACAGTAATGAACCCCCTTTCAAAAACTTCTCTCTCAACGACGAACAATGGAGAGAACTACATCTCGCAGCATGGTTACACGATGCTGGAAAAATCGTAACCCCTGTGCATATTATGGATAAACCTACTAAACTTCATAAACTATTCGATGTCATAGACCACATCAAATTAAGAATAGAAATCCTTAAACGCGACATCCTCGATTCACATAAACCCACCCTCTCCGAAGATGAAAAAAAACTAAAACTAAACCAAACACAAGATGATTTGGAATTCCTACAAAAAGTCAACCTCGGCTCCGAAACACTTTCCAACGCCGCAATCCAACGCGTTCAATCTATCGCCCAAAAAACCTATCTCGTAAATCAACAGCCACTTCCTCTGCTCTCTAACGACGAAGTCATGAACCTCTCTATCCAAAAAGGAACTCTTAATGAGACTGAAAGACAAATCATCAACAACCATATTTCCGTTACAATACAAATGCTCGATCGTTTGCCCTTTCCGAGCAATCTTGCACGAGTACCCGAATTCGCAGGCGCTCACCACGAAAAAATGGACGGAACAGGATACCCGAACAACCTAACTCACAACCAACTTTCTATTCCCGCAAAAATTATGATTATCGCCGACATCTTCGAAGCCCTATCCTCAGCAGATAGACCCTACAAACAGCCTCATTCCCTTAGCAAAATCATGTCCATTATGGGAAAAATGAAACGAAATAATCATTTCGACCCAGACCTTTTTAACCTCTTCATAAAAGAAAAAATTTATCTGAAATACGCAACCCTTTATCTACAACCCAATTTAATAGATAGCGTGGATGAACAAGCTCTTATTGACATCGTGCCAAAATATATTGAGCAGCAGAACTAACTCCTCCATCTGCTATTCAACTCACTTCCATCTTTTCACTTCACTTATCATAACCCGCTTTAACTTCTCTTTCCAAATATATTATGTGCTATTCTCTTCATTTTGATTTGTGTCATTCCGTGCTATGTGCTAACTTTGTGCTCACATTTTATAACATAAAAAATTAATTCTATGGCAAAGAAGCAAAGTTTTGGGGAGAAGGCGGGCAAGAAGAAGGTAGAAGCAACCACAAAAACAGTCAAGGCAGTGTTTTCGATATATTCTGCTAAAACTCAATCATGGAAGTTTTCCGAAAAATTTGTAAAACTCCCGGCCGAAGCTGACGAAACAAAGTTTTTGGAAGAAGAATTCGCCCGGCTTTCTTAATAAAGAATTCGGCTTTACTCCTTGCGAGCGTAACTCAGTTGGTAGAGTGTCAGCTTCCCAAGCTGAATGTCGCGGGTTCGATCCCCGTCGCTCGCTCACAAAATTAGTCCTTTTATGCCTACACCTAACACTGAATTGCACACCATATCCCTATCATTTACTTTCATTTTCGTCTTAAACTCAAAAAATCATAGATGATGAACCCAAATCCGCTTTGTGCAAGTATGTTCCTTGAACACTTTACCTCCAAATCCATTTCTGACCTCAATCAATGCGATTTATTAGAACTTCGTTTGGATAAAGAAACAAATTTAGACCTTTTCTCACTTGCCTCCTTACGTAGGGCATACCCTATCCTTCTTTCTACGGACATCCTCATTACATTACGGCACGTAGCAGAAGGCGGGTTTTTTTCCCAAAGTGAATCCGTCCGAATTGCGTTTTATCTACGAATGTTGAACGAAGGCGCACGGTATCTAGATCTTGAATTTTCAGCATACAAAAATAATTTGAATCTCTACAGTTCCATTCCCTCTGAAAACCTCGTTCTTTCCGCCCACCTCGGAACGGCTACATGCGAACAACTTACTGAACTATTCAATGACATGAGCACGTACCCCGCAGCAACCCTTAAACTTATTTTTACCGCAACCGACATAAACTGTGCCCTACACGTAAGGCACATTTTGAACTTAGCAAAAGCAAATCGCCGTGCAACCGTGTGTCATGCTATGGGCGAACAGGGAGAACCCTCACGTATCCTTGGCGCATTGTGGGGAAATGCATGGACATATATCTCACCTGACAACAATCCAACCGCTCCCGGACAACTTCCC